ACATTTCTATTCTAATTAATTCACAACAGTGCTGCTTCATATTTTTGTGTTTTTCAGGATTATTTGATGAATAGAAAGGAAAAAAGCAGCATTTATTTGAAACAGAAATCTTTACTCTCTCTTCTGGTCAATTTAATGCATCCTTGCTGAATAAAAATATGAATTTATTTAATTTTTTTAATTCTATTGAACCCAAACTTTTGAACAGTAGTATAAACTACCATTTACGTATGTTGGGTCTATTTAACAATTAATTCTGGAGAGAGAAAAAAGAAAATGGAATAAATTGTTACACTGGTTTACACAAAAATATTAATCAGCACAACTGTTTTTAACATTGATAATACTCAGAAATGTTTAGGACGTTTGCATTGTAATAATGTATGGTGTTCAAATATAAAAATGCTGACTCGTTAGTCATGTTTTCTCATTAAAATCAGACAAGTTCCTATTAATTCAATTGAATGTGAGGGAATAACTCTAGAATAACCTTCCTGATAATGTTTGGGGCCCAGAAACACAATCCTAATTTAAATCTAGATTAAAGACGCATCTCTTTATCCAAGCATTCAATTAACACATCTCATAATCTTGCACTATAAGACTATAAAATAGTAAAAAGTGCACATGATCATCTTTTGCCTGAAATATTACAGCAGGTATGCTAATCTTTCTCCTATTGTTTCCCTGTTTCTATCTCAGGATGCTCGGCAAGTTTACTAGATATTACAGCAGCTCCAGTTTGGATCCAGCCTCACTTGTGAAGACTTCTAATGACACCAACACTCTTGAAGACTTCAGATGATGACAACTATAGATGGACATAAAAAACTGCCAGATATTAACCTTATATTGCATTGGCCCGGTTTCACAGACAATCTGCAAACTTGCCCTTTTGAAATGTTGAAGGATAGCAAAAATTTGTCTGTTTAAAGCCTGGAACACACCAAGCCGACGCTGACGAACTAGCGCCGATGAAAGCCGACTGTGTTGTCGCCTCTCGTCGGGGTAAAAAGCTGCACTTGAACACACCGAGAGAACTACAGGCGACTGTCAGCTAGAATGCGCGTTCTGCGCCTGCGTGTAAATGAGACAATTAACTGTCTATTTCTGCAGATATATTCTCTATATTCGTCATTCAAAAAGGGAAACCGACGCTGTCGGCTGCAGATACACAAACCATAAACAAAGCAGTGTGTGCTTACCGTTCTGAATATCAATCCTGCTAAACACTTTCTTTATTCCACTCCGCTCGTGTTAATATTGAAATATTCAAAGAAGTTTTGACTTCTTTGCTCGCTGTTTTGCTATTATTCTCCTGCATTGACTCTTTCACTATGCTGAACAGCCAATCAGAGTTCTCTCTTTCACCGACGGCCCGACGCCGATTCAACATGTCGAATCGGCCGAAACAAAGCCGACGAGGACCAATTTCAGCCGACGGCACGGAACCGTGCGGAACACACCGAGGAAACTCAGTCGGACGACGCACAAAAACTGCCCGACGGCCGACCGTCGGCTTGGTGTGTTCCAGGCTTAACTGAACATGACTTTAAACTCATGACTTGTATCTTATGGACTTTACTTTGTTGCCAGAAGATGCTCTCCAGTGAGTAGCAGTCGCCTCTGGCTGATTAAATTATATTTTGTGATTGTAACCATGAACATGCATTTTCTGTAAAGCTTCTTTGAAACGATTTGTGTTGTGAAGAGCACTATATGGTTTTACTATGGTAAAACTATCAACCATGTTATTTTTTTTCAAAACCATGGTTCAACTAGTAATATTGCTGTAATAATTGCTGTAAAATTATGGTAACCATGACTATAACCATAGGTTTTTAAACCTTGGTTGTTGTGAAAATGCTGCAAATGCTGTGGTAAAACCATATGGTTAATTTTCATAAGGGTACTACAAATATACTTAAATTATCCTATAATGTACTTGACTAATAGTCACGTTGAGTAAAATAATCTGATAAATATAAATGTGTTGTTAATTTAATCTGTCCACTGAAAATTAATCTAATAAAAATATATTTGCAACTGCTATTGAGACTGGTGTACATTGCTTATTTTTTTTATCCATTATAGTGTAAGGCCATTTTGGTTAGCATGAGTAACTGATTATAAACCGTGGACCGACCGTGGTCCGCCAGAAAACACTTATTATAAACCAGCGGCACGATAGCGGACCACCGTCGGGAAAGCGGCGTCTGCCGCTGGAGGTCCGCTAGAATAACGATGAGCAAAACGCCAGTGATCCGCCGGCGGCGTCCGCCAGTGGGCCGCCGACTTTGCCACCGGTGGTCCACCACTGGACCGCTGGACTCATGTTAGCTGGGTATGGTGCATCCTCTGTAATTACACAAATTATGACAAAGTTTTAATATTATAATTTTTCAGCAGTAGACTGCTCAGCCGGCTTAGTTACTGTGTTACCAAGTGAGACCTACCCTTTCAAAATGATCATTAAAGCATTAATGTGTTCCTTAAAAGGAGATGCTCAAAAATCTTAAGTAATATGAAGAATACATGAGTTATGTTATGAATCTTAATGCGCATTTGACGTGCGTTTTTAAAGGCCATGTCCGTGATTGGAGACAGAAGATCCAGAGAGCAAAAGGCGAAACAGGAAAGGTGGGAAATTTTTATCCCTCATCATCTTGTTTCAACAATAAAATAAATATTTTAACAACAGAAGTTAATAAATGACCGCCACGACAATACTCCTTTCTATCACTTCCACAGAGAAAAAGAACTGGCCAAGGTAACAATAAAGAAGGAAGATGTGGAACTCATTGTAAGTATACAGAGGTGTATTTTTATGCGAGATTCATGAACCTGTTTACTTTAACATGGAAATGAAGAAACATGATAATGCCATCCTGACAGATGGGAGAGATGGAGATTCCCCGATCAGTGGCGGAGCGCAGTCTGAGAGAACACATGGGAAATGTGGTGGAGGCTTTGATTGCTCTGACCAATTGAGTGGATGAGACTGCTTTGAGATGTATGGACACATTGGACTGCCTCCTTCCTGCTCATGATCAACCCTTTTCACACTGTATTTAGTCTCTAATAAAGGAACTTTTTTTTTTTAACAGTCTTAAACGGTACAACTCACCTCTTTTCATTTCTAAGAAGCTCCAGCCTCCTTTTTGATAATGCATTCCAGATGAACCAATGAGATCATGGTTGCTGGACACTTTTTAAAGTCAAATTTAAGGCCTGAAGAAATAAAAATGAATACTGTACATTAGGGGTGTGCAATATTGACAAAAACCAATTATATTGTGATATTTCCAAGGTTTTGTTGATTATGTGTTTTTGTGCTGGTACCATGGCTGGTTTGGGCCTGTTGTTGACAGCTGACTCACGAAGATATTCATATTCTATGTGCTGGTCAGTTTACAGCAGTGACAGAAATTAACATTTTTATTAAGGGGCAATATTTGCCACCTTAAATTGATTTCCAGGGGCATTTTTATCTATATAAGGGCAATTTTTCTAAATGTATTAGAAGATGTATGCATCACCTTTTATGTCAAATTAAAACATTCAGATTAAATTATATTAGAATAATAACAGCATAGGGCTGTTACCAGTCAATTTAAATCATTATCAACAAAATCCATGTTTGCAATGCATCAGAAGTGGCATTAATATATTTACAATTGCATAAATAATGCTATGAGAATTCTATTATTCAATATTTTTTAAATAAAATTATTTCTAATTTTAACTTTTCAATTTAAGGGTATTTTAATTATGAAACTAAAACCGCCAGTAGGTGGCAGCAAGTCACTGTCTTAGAGTTGAGGGAGTCGATTTGTTCAAACGGTTGATTCATTCGGGAAAGAAGCAAGTGATGGGCCATTGCATCATTAATTAAAACTGATTCGTTCAAAACGCGGATTCAGTAAAAAAAAAACCACATCGCTGTTATTTGCAAGGTTCTGCTACGGTTTCATTTTTAAATTTTTGCCGGCGAAATAAAGGAACAAACAATATTGAGTCTAAAATGTAACTAACAATTTTAACTTATTGTTCATTTAACTGTTGTATAAAATAAATATCACATTTGCAATTGTGCTGGGGAAAACGGCACTCTTGCTCGTGATATTGTAATATAGCTACATAATATGAAACAAATATAAGACAAAAACTCATTCGGGAACTTACCTACAACTGCACACATCACGCAGTGAAAGCACGAGTGACACTTGCGATGTCAGCTCGCAGTGACTAGCACATCGTTAAAACAATGATTACAATATCATCATAACAATACATATTGCACAGGCCCCAGCACATAAAGAATAAACTGACAATTCAATTATCCATTTTCTCCTCCTGTTGCGCGTGCATGGGACAGACGTAATATGGTGCCGTAAATGAGGCGAATTGTCACGTGAACAAGATGTACGCTAATTAAATCGTTTTAAAGGAGCTGTATGTAAGATTGTGGCCAAAACCGGTACTGCAATCACTTTCAAATTACTGTAGAGCGGTGTATCCCCTCCCCCTCCCCCCTGACTCAAGATTGCCAGATCGGCTGCATTTTTTTATCCGACACGTGTGTAGCTGCAGCTGTGGTAACTAGAGCAGAGCTGGCAACCCGGATGGCGCAACACTACTGACTTCGTGAATGGACGATGGGTGGAGGGTGGAGCATCAGACCAAAACACAACATGACAACATCAACATCAGTTGAGGGCTGCAACTTCACTTTTTAAATGACAATATCCTGGCCAGACTACTGTTGTCAGTGATATAAGTATTTGAAATGAACATGATTTCTCAATGTCTAGTGACATATCAGGGCCATTTTATGATTAATTCAAATACATTTCTTACATACAGCTCCTTTAATTTGGTAAAGCATTCAGATATGTCAAAGTGTCATCCGAAATTTAAGTCCTCTCATAAATAAAAATGAGACTTTGTATGGCCTTAAATATTTCAAATCTAATTTAAGACTTAAGGAAACCTGGAGATCAGTGTCATAGTAATTTATTACCATAAAACAAAGTACATTTTTTTTCCCACTAGAAACAAAGAAACTAAAGAGTCCGCATTCTGTACACATGAAACATCTAGATGTACACAATCTAAATGCAATAAAGATTTAATGGATTTATGAGGTTTCTCCAACACTCGCATGTAAAATAAGGGTGATGTGGGTGGGGAGTTTAAAAGTGTCCTTGTTTGAGCTGAATTTGCTCTTCTAGCATAAATAACAGGATTATGTCTTCCTCTTATGCACTGTCGGCCGATCGAACACGTCCCTCACGCCCCCTGCCTTCTGTTTGAAGAACTTGCTGTTCTGAGCGCTCTCCTGAGCCCAGGCAGAATCAAATGAAGTGGTGTCCTGATCCACCAGATGTGTGTATTTGGTGCGTCCAGAACGTCCAAAGTTTTTGACCTACAAAATATATTGAATAATCAGTTTTATTAGTATAAACATGGATGCTAGACTACTAAAGTTATGGTCCCAAAATATGACAAAGCAGATTTGCTGGAAGGTACTACATTTAACTGCTAACTACTAAATTGAACAGACATTATCCCACATGATTTAGTCTGCTTTAACCACCTCTTTTTATTTTATTTTATTTTATACAATTGACCACAAACTCGCATTCCAATCTGCCTCTATCCAATCAACAATCTTTTCCTTTACGATAATCCTTTTCACTCAGATGTATGTCAGAATACATCAGAAAAGATCTGCCGCTACTTCCATTTCATTGCAACTTCGGATGTCAAAATCTGAGATCTGATTGGCAGTGGTACTAATTTCCAAAATCTGATTTTAAGTATTTAACATTGCGACCTTTGGAAAACTAACCCAACACCCAAAATAAACTGATCTGAGGAATAAACTATACAGCTATAGAATTACATTTATTTCTAAACCAGTATGATGGATTCAAATACATGGCACTGACCTGCATGACTTTGGGTAAGATTGTTTTGTTGAAATGGTCCTCAAGAGTTGGAGCACTAAAGTCTCTCCTGAAGACGTCTTGCTCTTCATCCTGCAGAAAAGATTAAATGTATATCAGACAAAACAACAAATGATGGTAATCTGGTAATGATGATCTGCTTATCACTCACCATGAAGAAAGCTCCTCTGTGATAATACTTCTGCAGAAACTTGTATTTGCCCTTTGATGCTTTGTTGGTGACAACTTTTCCATTTGTGCGCAGTTCTGCTCTGCGCTCTTCCTCGGTAAGACTGTGAAACCTCTCGATTTCTGCTTTCTCTTTCTCCATTCTGTAATTGAAAGAAATGCCATGTCAAATTTTGAATGACTTACTTTCTAAAAAATAATGTAATGTTTTTGTTGTGAAAATGATGAGTACTCACGCTTCTCTGCATTCTCTGTCCCTCTTAATACGCTTCAGTTCTCTCACTTTCCAGGCCTCATATTCCTCCTCTTCATTTTCTCCATCTGTGTCCAGAGCATCAAGAGCAGCCAGCGTACGTTTGTTCTCCTCAAACTCTTTCTTGGCCTCTTCCTCTACAATCTTCAGCGTGTAGCGGCGTCTCTCTTCAACTTGTTTTTTGGCTTCGACTTCCAGTTCTTTCTGTTTCTGCTCCTCTGCTTCTCGTTCTGCGACGGTCACCCTGTCCTTCCTGAAATGTCACATTGATGAACAATTTAAGTATCTATCAGTGTTGTGTAAATAATATTATAGTTTTCCTTCATATTTTGAATAAGCTTTTATTATATTTTCATTTATCAAGGGTCAACTGTCTAGCTTTATATTAATCTCAGTGTTAGACAGCACAAGATTAAAATAACATTCACCGGCACTGTAAAGCATGTAATGTAACAAGTGCCTGTTTGCTGAATAAAGAGACTTAAAGCCCCAATATACTTCAAGCGCAAATCGAAGAACGAACTGATGTGACGTCATTTCGAACAAAATCAGGCAAAAACAAACTTCGTTTGGCGTTCGAAAACACCTTTGTACTACCATCGGTCCGTTGCGATTACATAATAGGTAGGTGTGCGTGGAGGCTCCGCCTTCTTTCAAGTGAAAATCTTTTCCAGTAAATTTCTCCTCACGAGTTCGTTGCGATCAGACGTGATTTGCGAGTGAACAAACACACTGGAGAGCTGCTTTATAGAAAATGAAGTTGTACTTCTGACGAAACACTGACACTGTTTTACATGTTTAATATGGTAAAGCAAATTGATTTTAAAGGGGTCATTTAATGCCATTTGTGTACAAGTTAATATGAATGTTTAGGGTCTAAATGAAAACTTTGTAATATACTTTTATCAAAAATTCTCATTAGTATTGTAAGAAAACACTAATTTTACCTGATCAAAAACAGCTCTGTTTTCAGCACGCCGTTTCAGTGCATATGACTTTAAATGATAATGAGATTCGCTCACTCCGCCCCTCTGTTCTGTGGGGCGTTTTTAACACAACACATGTGGAGTGTTGCCTTGACAACAGTTGAGGGTATATTTTGGAGAAAGAATGGCAGCGGCAGTCTCTGAGGACACATCTGTGCAAACGTATCAGTTTGAACAGGAGTCGCACCGGGAACAAGATGACGGTCCCGAAGAAGTTCGACAATTAAGGCTCGAACAGGACGTTTCTGAATGGTTGGTTAACGTAATGTCACTTTGATCTATTTTTGTATGCACTGGCTGGGTAGAGTAGTGAGATACGAACGCTGTGTGTTTACTGATGTATACGTTAGTTCATTGACAGATTGACGTTACAACTAATGGTCATGAAACACTTTTTCCGCGATTTGCAAAGATTAATATAAAGGTTAATAAAACCTTACACTTACTTCTTCTGGAGGTGCAGAGGGAACATAAATAGTTGCTACCGATTCCTTTTTCAGGAGCAGCTTCTTAGCAAAACCAGCTTTATACTGACCCTCGTTTATAAAGAAGTCTGCGATAAATTATTCGCGCAAACATGAGAGCATTGACGTTGCTCGTGGGGAATATTCCCATCGAAAACAAAAAACTCAGCCACTGCGTCTTCAGCGGTTCGGATTTAGGAACATTAAAATGACTGTTCGTTATTACACCCAAGAACAGAACACCACAATCGCTTAGACGCCATTCTGCTCTAGCGTATCAACAATAGCGGACTATGATGATAGCTCGCTCAGGGCGGGTCTGTGTTGAAACACTGCTGTCAGTCAACAATTGTAGAAGGGGCGTCCGTTTTATTGACGTCACGCGGTCGAACGGGTCAATTTGAGGCAGGGAAAACATATAAGGAGATTAAAACAAAAACACTGGATGGATTTTTATCATTATATGATGGTTGTGTCCAGGCACTGCCAACACACATGTCAGTACAATCAACTTGTAAAAGTGCATGTACCATTATATGACCCCTTTAAGCAATCTATTGTATAAAGTGCTATACAAATAAACGTGACGTGACTTTACTAGAGTGCTAAATCGCAGAGCTCGTGCAAACATTCACATTGCTATAATCATCTGCTTTTCTTATACTTTATTTAAAATATTTGCAGTTCTCTCAATTTTCTTGTGTGTTTATTTTGTTATTGAGAGGAAAGCACACAGCACATATTTACATATTCATCTAAACGCCGCTCTCAGCAAAGTGGGCGGAGTCAGATGTTCGATATCAGTATATTGCTGCTCACGTATTTCGAACTTTGTTTTACCCCTAAACGAAGAACGAAAAATAACTTATAGAGAATAACTTCTTTTGGAGGGGAAATTCTGCTTTGTAGCTTTGCAGACCTTTTTCAAGCTCAAACGGCAACAATACACACATTGAATATGTAAAAAAAAAAAAAGCCATAATAGGTCCTTTTTAAGATTCATTTATATTAAGAAACTCACTTGCGAATGAACACCGGTTTCAACCGAGGCTCAGCTTCATCCTCACTGTCTGTGTATTCCTCATACTCTGACTCTGATTCAGACTCCTCACCGGACTTCCCCTCCTCCTCCACCTCCATGATCTCCATTTCCTCGTTCTTCTTCTCTTGTGCACGTTGACGCATCATTGCTCTCCTCCTCTCAATTTCCTATACAGAAGAAATAACACCACTTACTTGTAAACTCATTTAATGCATATTCAAGTCTTTGCTTTTCCTAAATATTTTGTTCAAGTGACCCACTTCATCATCAACTTCCTCCTCCTCTTCATCTTCGCTGCTCTCCTCTCGCTCAGGGTGCCAGGTTCCTTCATCCGAGTCCTCGCTGCTTTGAACAATCAGCTCTGGCTCTGCTATCTGCCTGTGTCTAGCAAGCCTGTGGAAGTCATAACAGTGCATTTCACATTAACACCAACCGGTCCTCAGTACAAGAATAATATATGAGAATAAAATGTTTTGCACAGATAAATCAGCTATACCTTTCTTCAACATCTTCGGAGACTCGATTCAAGAGACGTCGAAGACGAGGATCAGATTTTTCCTCCTCTTCAACTTCCATTTCTGCCTCAGCCTCTTTGCCTTTCTTAACAAACTGGAAATCCTCCTCTTCTTCATCGGAGGACTCCATTGGGGCATAATCTGGACGCTTACCTGACACATATCGCTTCACCTTCACCTTCTCCATAGAAAGCTCACCTGAAATTAAATAAAAACAAAACAATGATGATATTGTCATAAGCTGTGTGTCAAGTTATTAAAAAAAGTTAAAAAGTGCTTTTCGCGTCATCTTCTCTCAGACATGAGTAACATTTAGAGCATGTTCCCACAACCACCACTAGACTCAATATACGAAAATACTCAGAATACGGGACAAGATTCATCCAAACCAATCTAATTACAGTGGTTTTATTATGTTTGAGACGAAGATTTCCATTATAATGATTTCGTACATGACATGCTAATAGTCAAAGCAAACTGCTTCTCAGTTTCTCCGAAAAATACCTTTTTCATTGCGGATCGGCACAGCTCCTGCCGTCGACTGAATCGGCGGCTGCTTGGAATTTAATGCATTTGGTCCTGACATTTTGGACAGTTCAAGTGTGTCCCTTTACACTTGAAGAATACACGGTCGATGAAAGTCTGCGTAAAAATCCTGTTTACAGTTCTTTATCCACTAACATGGACGTCCCGGAAATATGACGGTAACTGGCGGACGTAAAGTTCCCCCGCGGAAACACTGACCTTTTTAGTAGTTCCTACCTTCAATCACTTTTAATATTCAACGACGCTTTATTATTAATTTTCACCTGTCCTTTTCTTTTGGTGGTGACTGATAAGTTATCAGATGTATAATAATAATCAGATAAAAGTGATGCATTTTTAAAATATAATTTTTATACATATTTATATTGATATCAACTTTTATTTATTCTTTATCGAACAACTACTATGGAAACCAGTTACATTTTACAGCTGTTTTTTTTTATCCTAAAATAATACAGTAATTATACTCTCCTCTTGCTCAAATTAATATCTCCTTCAAACAGTGTTAGAAGCTTTTAGGATTGTTTAATCATCTTATTATTATTATTTTAAAAACCACTGTGGTGGTTTATTCCAAAGGTACCAAGCCTAAACGACTCTTGTACAGTTTTATTGTAGAAACAATAACTGTAAATTTATATTTATATTAAATGTATATACTCTAAACTATATGTTTACCTAGATACTTTTTTGGGGGGGGGGAAAAATCTTATATTTTATTATTCATATTGATACATTTCTGAAATAATACACAACACTTATCACATTTAACAAAACTTTAATTAAATTGCATAACTGTGCATGTATTGTACACTTATTATTATTGTCATTATTATGAAATAACAAAATTAACTAATTGAAGAAAAAAAAAATCTACCAATCTTTATATTAAAGGGACAGTTACCTTAAAAAATTTAATTCAGTCATCCTTTACCTCCCCGGATGTTGTTCTAACTCTGTATGACTTTACTAAGCAGAACACAAAATTAAATGTCCTTCTTCCTTACATCTCCTTTTGTATTAATAATACACAAGAATCTCATACAGGTTTGGAGCAACATCAGGGCAGGTAATGGTGACAGAATGATAATTTTTGCTGAACTGTTCCTTTAGGTTAAAGAGCATTCCATGATGATCAGTTGCATCAAAAACACATCAGAACTGCACTCCTCTCTCCAAAAACAGCTGCTGCATTTTTTCCTCAAGAGCTGGATTGGTGCCACGAAGCCCTTTTGCCACCTGAGATGCCCATACAAAGTATTCTTGAACCCTTTCTGCCGTCCAACCTGTCAACATAGATACAAGGCAGCATTTTTACACTACCGGTAAAATTACATATGGTAAATATACTCATGCGTACGCAAATCTCCAGAGCAGCAGTTTCAATATCTCACTTGTGGGAGTGCAACGATTGAGGTCCCGTAAATTATACAACTTGTCAGCTAGTTTAACTAGCTTGGCCTGATGACTGCGATGTGGCGCATGCACCACTTGCAGGCGTTTTCTTTCCTCTTTTGGCAGCGACTTGTCGTCTGTCACCTCCTGGACAATTCTTGCCACTGTGGTTCCAAACACAGACTCCAGCTCATCAAAAGTTGTGTCAGTGTCCTCTACTGTGTCATGAAGCAATGCTGCCTGTATCACAAGTGCACAGTTCAATCACATCAATGCATTTGCAAAATTCCATTAGCCTCTGTAATAAATCATTGCATGGCTCATGAAACAAACCTCTTGTTATTTCTCTATAGATTACAATATTTATAGATGAAGCACAAACTGTACCTTAAAAGTCACACACAAACATATATCTGACTCACTTGTAAAACTTCGATATCTGTGATTCCACCCTCATAACTTAAAATCCTTGCCACCCCTGTAAAGATAAGAAGAGCACCATATTATTTTTTGGAGTGAGACGGATTAAATATAATTTGAAGTGAAGTGCTCTAGTTTAAAGTACCTATAGGGTGATTGATATATGGTGTGGCATCAGGATCCTTACGGCGCTGATTACGATGTTTCTCTGCAGCGAAGTTGACCGTTTCCAGCAGCACTGCAGTCGACGAACTCATAGTTACTTTAAAGAAGAATAAGAGAATGCACAGTCTGATAATTGGGTCTATAAATAGATTGGCCAGAATATACAGGTAACGTATCTATTAAAACCGTGGACAATGTTATACATCTATGATGTTTGTGTATTGACGGCTGGTGTATTGTGTCCGCAAGTCTAAGATGTCCGTACTGAAACAAGCATCGCAATATTAGATTCGTCAAAGAATTGTTCGTTTGAGTCAAATATTTCCAATGAATCAGTTCACCGGTTTGCAATTCCTTGATGATTTGTTTGTGTACCGAATATTTGACAGGTGGTTCAAAAAATATTTAACATGTATTAACATTTAACATGTTATTGTATTACATTTTTATCAACAATAATTATCTTTTTTAAAGCGTGCAAAAATGATTTTTAGCCAAGTAATAAATGTATCATCGTAAAGATGAAACATAAGTGATGTCATTACCTGAAACGGCAAAAGTACGTTTAACAACTTGTAAATATTGCTCATTGTAAAAACAAATTAAGGTTGCAACTTGTAAATAACTTTTATGATGAATTATGGCTGCAACTGGACCAGATCGAATGAAAGTACAACAAACATCGTGATTTATTAGAAAAACGTAGTAAATAGCGATATGTGCTTACATGTATGGTTTTATTGTAAAGTTTCAGCACATGCCACACTGAAAGACCACGGGATGGAGAAAAGAATCACTGAATTGGTTTTGCTGTTCGAAAGAATCGATTTGCGGAAATGAATCGGACTTTCACTAAGCGAGCGTCAGATAGCAAAACCACTTCCGGGAAAAGGTGGACGAGGTATTATACGAATGCACTGCCTTTTGTGTAACTTTACATGCTAATTAAAAGAATTCGGATAACTACAAAAATGCTATTAATGTGGCTAACTTGGGATGTGGGGTTGGACGTTCCGATCTTTTTATAAACTGTGGAAATAAATGACAGTTTGAGCTGCTGGATGAAAATCAGCTTCAAAATTCAGTCTCCACAGATCTAAGTGGCATTAATGTTATGCTGAAATGTTTGACAGGTTTATCCAGCTGTGGATAGTGTGGTAGGATCTCTCCATATGGCACAGACAGAGAGGAGAGATGCTCCTGAGCTGCCTGATTTCTCTCTGCTCAAAAGACTAGCCAGAGACCAGCTCATCTTCCTGCTTGAACAGGTGACATGGCCACCACCCACCGTTTCTTTAAATGCAAATAAGTACTTTTCATTTAATAATTCTATTGTATGTTTCACAGTTGCCAGGGAAGAAGGATTTATTTATTGATGCAGATTTAATGAGCCCTCTTGATCGAATAGCAAATGTCACAATCTTGAAGGTATGATAACATGTATGAAATTTTAGGTGAAAAATTTGGCACTCTGTATTTCTAAATGACTAGCAATTTATATCATCTTGAAATATTATTGATATACAAATATGTTGTCGCACCCTTATAATTCTAACAAGTCTATGCTTGATTTTGCCTTTTAGCAACATGAAGTCGACAAATTGTACAAAGTTGAGCTCAAGCCAATTGTCAGCAGTTCAGACCAGTAAGTAAACTTTAGCTCTTTTTTGTGATCAAAATTTTTATTTTATTTACCATACCAGGAACATATCAGAGTTCAGATGAACTATATACAGACAGATGCCATGAAAACTAGTGTCCACATATATATATATATATATAAAAAAAAAAAAAACAATAACATAAAAAGGGATATGTAGAATATGGAGGGAAAATGAAAAGCAAAAGGGGAGAGAGAGAAATGTAGTATGTCAAAATCTCAGCTTATCTAAATAAATTATTATTTTTGTCCAGCTTTGAATAGTCTTGTCCTTTGCGCCGTTGACCTTGCCAGTGGTACCTTCCAGCAATACAATGTCTCTAAAATAAGATAGCCAAATTAAAGTTGTAGGTATGGATGGTTCTATCCATAGCTTTAAAATAGTATTTTTGGCAGCAGTGCTTGTTGCCAATAAGGTCCTTTTTTGTTGAGCGTAAACTTTAGTTCTTAACAAGTGAAAACTAGTTTTGGTTATATACATGCCTTATACATATTCGATAATTTTCACAGGCTGTGCTTCCTGATACGTCCTCGAATACAAACTGTGAAGTGGATTTCAGGTTGGTGTGGCTGTTCGATAGTGATAAATAATCTATTTGATAAAAGCAGGAGGAAGTATAGTTTAATAGTTTGTCTTAACTGTGTTTACAGAGTTAGTCAATTCAGATAAGACGGCTGGAAGATTCAGAAGATATAAGATCATATTTACTCCACAAAAGGTAACTAGTGATCTGAGAATTATGGTAAATTTCACAAATACTTTATTTTGTTGTCCGATTCTAATGTTATCGTAAAACTTTACAGTTTTATGCATGTGAGACGGTTTTGGAGGAGCAGGGAGTCTATGGAGGTGGGTTAAGTGTGCTTAATTTTTCTAGCTTTGTTAACGCATCTCCTAATACAGACATTAACTATGTTGTTCTTTTAATAGACGTTACAACCGACGAGTGGAATTTCTACATTCTTCCTCTGGATGATGATATCCTGAGTTTAGAGCTGCCTGAATTCTTCAGAGATAACTTTCTGGTAATGCTGTTCTGGATGCTATGTATGTACATATCTTTAGAGCTAAGGAAAGCTTTTGTTTTGTAATGTTTGCTTAGTTTTAGTGAGATTTTTACCTCTTTTGAGATTTCTAGTATGACAAGTATTCTTGATATTATCTTGATATCATTCTTGATATCATTATTTTAAGAACAAAAGCAAAAAACAGTAATATTTTGAAATATTAATTTAAAATAAATATTTTCCTGTGATGGCAAAGCCATGGTCTTCAGTGTCACATGATCCTTCAGAAATCATTCTAATATGCTGATTTGCTTCTCAAGAAACATTTCATATTAGTATTAGTGCTGTGCTGATTATTTAATGAATAGAAAATTCAAAAATAAGACTTATTTGAATTATTTATTTGAAATCAGTATCATATTTTGTAACATTATAAGTGTCCTCACTGTCACTTGTAATTAATTTTTTGTGCCCCTGCTGAATAAAATGATTAATTTCTTTAAAAATAATAATTATTAACCCACACTTTTGACCAGTAGTCTAATTTTTGATAAGTGATAATTGATATGTATGTGATTTGTCAGGAGGGAGACCAGCGCTGGGTGACCGCTGGAGGAAGTGCTCTAAATCTTTTACAGTCTGTCTATGGTTCCTTCTCAAAGATTTATGGTATTGGTAGATGTGCCAAGGTGAGGATTTGCGACAAAACCCTTAACCTCAAAGATTAAGAGATTTTGGTGGATGAAAATCAAGGTAGTCTTTCGTTTCATATGTCTCTTGTTATGTAGATGGTGTATGAATCCTGGAGGGAGCTAATGGAGGAGGGGGAACAGAGAACAAGGCAACCTGAATTCGCTAAAGTCTTTCTTATTGACAGAGGTCAGTTATTTAAAATGAAAATAAATGTACCTTTTGATGTATTCTTATAGTTTTTTTGAAACTTGAAAATAACGCTTATATCCTGATCACTGGATTTTACTGTTTTAGATGTGGACTTTGTTACTCCTCTCTGCTCTCAAGTTGTTTATGAGGGATTAGTAGATGACATTTTCAGAATAAAATGTGGTAAGTAACCATTGTTTTTATTACAGAGTCTTTGTGTCTTAATAATAAGAAATTGTTCAAAACATGTTTAAAGGACAAGTTCGGTATTTTACACTTAAAGCCCTGTTTCAAGATCGTTTCTGGTGAAATAGAACGGTTAAGATTAAAATGTGGACACATGCTGCTGTCCCGAGAAATTTCGGTTTCTGTGGTTGCACCCCCCCACGTCCACAATGGTTGCATAGGTGCACAGAAACAATCCTTCCTAAAACGCATTAAACTCTAGTTTACAAAGACATGAAACTCACCGAGTGGTCAGGGGTGTTCACTGATATGCTCACACAAAAATCGCTGCAAAAGATGCTTTCCAACAGGTTTTATCGTAGTTTTTGAACAACTCCATTTGACTTGACTTGGACAAAAACTACAATAAAACCTGTTGGAAAGCATCTTTTGCAGCGATTTTTGTGTGAGCATATCAGTGAACACCCCTGACCACTCGGTGAGTTTCACGTCTTTGTAAACTAAAGTTTAATGCGTTTTAGGAAGGATTGTTTCTGTGCACCTATGCAACCATTGTGGAGGTGGGGGGGGGTGCGACCACAGAAACCGAAATTTCTCGGGACAGCAGCATGTGTCCAAATTTTAATCTTAACCGTTCTATTTCACCAGAAACGATCTTGAAACAGGGTTTCAAGTGTAAAATACCGAACTTGTCCTTTAATGAAAACATCACCAGCTGAACAGTTATTTCTGACATCTTCAAGTTCATCCTTTGTCCAACATTTTTTATTTTGTTACCAGGTAGTGTGGAGTTTGGGCCTGATGTCACTTCCTCTGACAAGAGTATAAAAGTGATGCTTAACTCTCAAGATAAAGTAAGAGTGATATAGACTTTATTTAATTGAAAGTGGTTAGAAACTGCTATTTTAAAAAACGACCCTGCTTGTTTTAATTCATCAGGTGTTCAATGAAATAAGGAACGAGCATTTCTCTAATGTGTTTGGCTTTTTAAGTCAGAAGGCCAAAAATCTTCAAACAGCATATGATGTAAGTGTCTTCTGCAGATGGCATGTGTTTCAAAGCGCATTAGTGTAAAGACAACAGGATACATTTGAGCATATTCTGAGTGTGACGATTATCAAAAAATGTGTGTGAATTGGTAACAGAAACGGCGTGGGATGGACATCCAGCAGATGAAGGCGTTTGTTGCAGATGAACTGAAAGGCCTGAAACAGGAACATCGTCTTCTCAGTCTTCGTAAGTTTTGTATACACTATTGCTCAAAAGTTTGGGGTCAATGAGATTTTTTAGAAAATCATAATTAATACTTATTTCAGCAAGGGTGCATTAAATTGACTGAAAGTAGCAGTAAAGTTACAAAAGATTTCTATTTCAAATTTCTTTTGAACTGCCTATTCATCAAAGAATCCTGAAAACAATTACACAGTTTTCCACAAAAATATATATATTATATATAATATATTATATGTATTAAGCAGCATGACTGTTTTCAAGATGGATAATAATAAGAAATGTGTCTTGAGCAGCAAATTTTCTTAGTAATAAATAAAAGAACATGCTTTCATGTTCTTCCACTAGATATTGGTGCTAGTGAATCGATGATGAAGAAGAAAACAAAGCAAGACTTCCAGGAATTGTTGAAGACAGAACATTGTAAGTTGTCTTGATAAATGTGAGCTCATGATACACAATTTCTACATAGAAATCTACACCATGACACTGTAACCTCACCCATTTCTATATTTCCGCCCTTTATAAAAATCCAGCTTTACTTGAAGGTTTTGAGATCCGTGAATGCATCACCTGCATTGAAGAACATATCAACAGACAGGTATACAAAATAAAGATTTATTTTACTAAGACACTGGCAGGGCTTGACATAAACACCCGCCAACCCTCCAAATGTGGATGGATATTTCAGCAGTGTCGTTTAATGCAGTCACTTCTACTAGCCACTTTGGCGGGTTGAGTTTTATATATAATATATACGTTTTCCAATTGTAGTCTTTTAAAAAGGCATCTGAAATAAAAAACTAAGTGCAATGTGTAGTGTTGACAAAAATATAAATTTTTCAATAAATATCGATACTGAAATACTCATTTTCTGCCGAATAGATACACAATAGCAGTTGTGCTTTCTCACTCTCTCATCTCTCCGACAGCGAGTTACACACAAACACGTCTCCCTTCACTCACTTGATTCATTTGCTCCGGATGAATGTTGCTGCTGTCACAGGGCTTGAATTACGGTGGGCGATTGCACGTATTGTGTTTTCACAATGTAATTTGTTCTCACACCCGAAGTGTGCGCACATAACGCTGCCTCTCAGTATTGAGTTAGTATTCGCTGCTTATTGCACTTTAACAGTCAAATACACACAACATAATGTTAAAATACTTGGCGAGTATTCACGTATGTTTTAAGTGAATGTAAACAGTTGAGAATGAAAACGCATGTGTAACAGTATAATGGATGCGTGTGTCAGGTCTTAAAGTAACAGCAGCCTAATAAACCTGCTGCCACATTATGAGATAATATTAAAAATATCTATATGGCAGTTTTCCCCATGGTATTGATGTCAAAATTGTGGCCAGTGAAAATGCTGCTGAGTGGCTAGTAACTTTTGAAAACCACTAGCCACAGTGGCTGGTGAGCAAAAAAGTTAATGTCAAGCCCTGGTATAATAACACTACAATAAGATTGATGCTTGATTTAAAGAATGAAAAAAACTCTGTCCATCAGGTGTCAATGATTGAAAGCCTTAGACTCCTTTGCCTGTTGTCCATCACAGAAAATGGTGAGACTGATTTACTCTTGTATGCAAGTTTTATGGCTCAAGTTGTTTATTCCAACAATTTCTTTTAAATATTGCATTTAATTGTCCAACAGGCCTTCTGTCCAAAGACTATCGATCTCTTAAAGCTCAGTACCTTCAGGTATGTTATGAATTGAAATTGCACATTTGTGAACTCTTCATTTACATAACCCTTTATAAAGCCATATATTTTTACTTAATAACAATGTCTCTAAAGTAAGTGTTTAAGTGAATCATATGAAATTACTGAAGATGTTTTTGTTGTCTCTTGTTCAGAGTTATGGTATAGAGCACCTGCTGACGTTTGCAAACCTGAAGCAACTGGGTCTACTGGAAGAACAGCAAGCTGGAGAAACTCTGACAGTCATGGAGAGTAAAGTAGGGAAACTTGTCAATGACAAGACTGGAGGTGAGAATCTTGACCAGTGCAGTCTCCCTCTCTCTATCTATCTCCCTCGCTCTCAAATTTATGACACTGAGGTCACTGACTATAATGTGCACATATTGTACATGCACTGGATAGTTACTTATGTTTTCTGTCCAGGGAAGCTGACAGATGCTTTCTCCTCACTGGCTAAGAAGAGCAATTTTCGAGCTCTGAGTAAAAAACTGACTCTGGTTAGCAAATATGTCCAGTTTTTTTAATTACTAAAAAGAACACAAAAAAGGATGTATAAAATGATCATAATCATCTGATCTACGTGTACAGGTACCAAAGTCTGGGGAGGAATATGATCTTCGCGTTCCACGAGACATGGCATATATTTTTAGTGGTGCTTATATTCCTCTGAGCTGCAAACTTATCGAACAGGTTAGCTTTCCAAAAAGGCTTTGACTGGTTAGCCATTATTTTTTTCTCTCTCTTGCTGAACAACTCACAGTGTTTGCTTCTGGACTGTGCTCCTCGCAGGTGTTGGAGAGAGATGGTTGGACTGGTCTAGAGGAGGTCTCCCGTATGCTAAATGGACAGGAGTTTGCTGTAACAGGTTTGAACAAAGTATTTGTTTGTATTAAGCTTTAAGAGTCAAAGGCCCATCTATTTAGGCTTATATGTATATCTAGTAAAATATGTCAGTTTAATGTTTATCTTTATTTATTTTGTAACATTTTAATTAAGATTATTTTAATATAACTGAATATAAATAATCCTAAGACTTATTGGGGGCACCCTGGAAGGTGTCTTATAAAATGATTTAATTAGAAGTCATTTATTTTTTCTTAGAAATGGACCTTTTTTGCTCCTATCAAGCCTGCTTTTTACCCCTCATTTCCCCATTTTTGTTTCAGGTGGCAGTAGTAGTTCGGAAGCCAGGACCAAAACTGATGCTCAAAGGATCGTTCTAGTGATGTTCCTTGGTGGCTGCACCTTCTCTGAGATCTCTGCACTCCGGTTCCTTGGCAAGGAAAGAGGTGAAATATTCCAGAATGTATTTTTTGTGTTTTTATAGTTACTTATTATTAGTAAGTAATATTATACTGTATATAAGTTAATATATTGGTATTTCTATAATTTATTAGTATTATTCATATATTATATATAAATAAATATATTAGTAAGTCAACAAATTGGAATATTTGATTAACATAAAATTGTCCATTTGAAAGGTTGCAGATTCATAGTGCTCACTACAGCCATCACGAACAGTGCGCGGCTTCTGGAAGCATTACTGGATAACCACCCTTGAGTCTGTGACAACATTCCACAAGAGGACACTTTATGACTGATCCTAGGACAGCAAAAAGGACAAAATGTGTACTAATCATCCTGGTCATTTATATCTCCCAAAAACAAATGGATTGTTTGAGGGGATGACAATAAAATGTGTTCAGGTATAGTTCACCCAAAAAGGAAATCTGTCATGTTCCAATCCTGGATGACTTCCCTTTTTTGCAGAACATTATAGAAGACATTTTGACCATTGTTCATAACCAATTGTTTGAGGGGATGACAATAAAATGTGTTCAGGTATAGTTCACCCAAAAAGGAAAACTGTCATGTTCCAAACCTGGATGACTTCCCTTTTTTGCAGAACATTATAGAAGATATTTTGACCATTGTTCATAACCAAAATGCTTTGGTTACCATTGACTTTTATTCTATGGACAAAAAACAGTGAGACATTTCTCAAAATTCTTTTATGTTTCACAGAAAAAAGGTGAATAAACGATGACAGAATTGTCATTTTGAGTGAACTATCCCTTTAATTGTCTAGGCAGGTATCTGAATTTATGAATGGAGAAGTGGCAAACATAGGATACTAAATTGCACTTTTTAAAGTTTTTTAAAACTTTGTTCAGAGTGTGGCAAGAACTGTAATAACTGATTTAAGACTGAACAATAAACAGTTACTGGTGTCAGGTGAATATTTTATTGTTATTATTTATTAATAATATTTATAAATATTTTATTATTGAATACACAGTGAAGTGGCCCTGTTTAGCTGTGTATTTTGAAGTAAAAAATCAGGAGTGGTCATTTTGAAAATGTTTCTGAAGTCATGGCATAGAGTGTAGACTAAAAAATGAGTCATGGTGGAACAATCCGCCTCTGTTGTGTGACACATCTTCACGCATGCGCAGGTATGCTCTAACCAGCCAATCAGACGAGCGGCGCTATTTTGATGCATATTTTGAATCGGACAGAAACGGTTACGCGTACGAGTTTGAGGACTGTACAGTCAAATATTCCTTTTTAAAATACAAATAAACAAGCTAAAAGCCTTGTATTGGGGTTCTAGGATGAGGAAGAGGTGAGTATGTTTACTGATACGTTATAATTTTTGGGTGTTTTTCTACGAATACGGAGACAGATTTAAACATTTGTGTAACTTAATTTGATCAATATGAAGTTTGAGCAGTAAGTTAAGTTAACGTTAGATAGTTTTGAATATGACATTAGCATTGTATGTTAATCAAAACGCGATCAAAATGGCATTTGACTCCTGAGATTAACGCGGTAACGTTAATGCTATTGACAGCAGGTGTTTTTAGCACATTTGACTAGCTCGTATGGGTGGGTCTCTATTCATAAACGTTAATGCCTTTAGCAAACATTATATATAACGTTAATGCTCAGTAGTGCAGTAACGTTAGTACATGTGCATTAGAATGAATATATGAAAACGTTTTAATAACATCTTGCAACCACCTGAAATTACAAAATGAAAGATTTGTGAAGTAACTTATGTACGTTAATAATGTAACGTTAATAACTTCTGTTACTGAATGTTTTTAATGAATGTTATCACTCGTGGATCAAAGTAGCACATAGAATGGATGTTTATCAATAATGTATTGTATGTTCTTTCTCTCCATGATTTTAGTGAGGTGATTGCTGCAGAATCAGTGGCATGTCTGAATAAAGCTCTCTGCCATCTGAAGGATATCTGGGAGGAAATTGGCATCCCTGAGGATCAGCGTTTAGAAAGAACAAATGTGGTTAAGAATCATATCAAAGTGAGTGTTGAGTGTACTTGTGCAACATGGATCCTATGAAATATGTTTCAGTGATAAACTAACAAAACATGTACTGTAGGGTCTTCTGGACATGATGATTGCAGAGGAAGAGAGTCTGCGTAAACGACTGATGACCAGTATTGACATGTGTCACAAAGAGCTGAGTCAATTGTGCTCGGAACTGCAGCTTCCCCCATTTCAGGCAAGTATTTAACATGGATACAATCTTTAGATGACCCCATGTTAACCTCAAAGATCTCATGAAAATGCCTGACCAAATGTCTGTCTTGTGTTAATGTATTTCCTATTGAAATGGGAAGTTTGAGAGACAGTTTTGTTTTCTTACAACAATAGGGAGTACACTAGCATATGGCACTACCAGTCAAAAGTTTGGAATCATTAAGATTTTAATTTTAATTTTTTTTTATAAAGAAAGAGCCTCTTATACTCACCAAGGCTGCATTTATTTGATAAAAAAAATACAGTGAAATATTGTGAAATGCAATCTCAACAATGTTCAAAACAGTTGTTCAACTTAATATTTTTGTGGAAACTGTGATGCATGTTTCATGAATTATTTGAAAGAACAGCATTTTAAAAAAGACATCATTATGAATGTCTTTGTCACTTTTTATCATTTAGTTTAGTGGGGGTGTAGTTGCTCTTTTTAAAGGTGTCTATCAATGTAATCAAATATCATTTGGGAATTACCTGTCTTTCAAATATCTGGGTATTGTGTTAAAAGGTGCTCCACGCATTTTACAGGCCTCCAAAATACTCTCCAGCCTTTGCTGAGGACTTTACAGAACTGTTATCAACAATTCCCTCAGAGTTTGACTGTTTTGACTGTTTGCAATTTTTTTTATCTGACTCAGCATGTACACGGACTTACTTATCAGTAAGGGTCTACACCATAGACTGTAAAAAATAGATCTACACATCTCATCGATTGCTATTAAGGATGTAGCACTGTCTGATCATTTCTGTATTTTCTTTGATATATTGATATTCTGCCATTGAAGCTAGATCTGTGTCTGTCAAGAAGAGATGCTTAAATGAGAACACTAGTGTACTATTTATGAAGGCTATATCTTTAACACCAAGCATATCTGCTGACTGTTGATTTTCTCCTTGATTCTTTTAACTCAAACGTTAAAAGCGTAATTGATGATATTGCTCCTGTGAAAGTCAGAAAGAAGAGTGGCAGACCTTGGAGAAACTCAACAGCAGTGCAAAATATGAAAAGACAATGCAGAAAAGCAAAGCGCATGTACCGGAAGACAAAACTTGTAGTCCATTATAACATCTACAAAGACAGCATCCATGCTTTCAATATGGAACTAGGCAAAGCTAGACAGACTTTCTTCTCGAATATTATAAACAGCAACTTAAACAACACACACACACACACACACACACACACACACACACACACACACACACACACACACACACTCTTTTTGCTACTGTAGAGAGACTGACAAACCCCCCAAGCCAGATTCCCAGTGAAATGCTCTCAGACAGCAAGTGCAGTGAGTTTGCTTCTTCCTTCTTTGAGAAAATCAATAATATCAGAAAGGTGATCAGCTCATCCTTGAGTTGCACAGGGGTCAGACAGATCAGACCACAACCTGAGAAAGTAGTTACTATGTCTGATTGCGAAGAAATTGATGGCAAAATTTTAGAAGAAACCGTACAGCACTTAAAAACATCCACCGGCACCCTTAACGCACTTCCCACATCTTTTTTCAAAAGTGTGTTAAACTGTTTAGAAGCAGATCTCCTATAAGTGGTAAATGCCTCACTTCTCTCTGGTCATTTGAAAAAGTTGTTTTCAATCAGCTGAACAAATTCTTAAGCTCGAACGGATACTTTGACAATTTTCAATCTAGTTTCCGACCGCATCACAGCACAGAGACGGCGCTCATAAAGATAATAAACGATATTTGCTTAAATGCTGATACAGGCAAATTACCAGTGCTGGTACTACTCGACCTCAGTGCTGCATTTGACACTGTTGATCACAACATACTTCTTGATAGGCTGGAAAACTGGGGATAGTCCTAAAATGGTTCAGGTCATACTTAGGAGGGAGAGGTTATTATGTGAGTATAGGAGATGATAGGCTGGAAAACTGGGGATAGTCCTAAAATGATTCAGGTCATACTTAGGGGGGAGAGGTTATTATGTGAGTATAGGAGACCATAAGTCTGAGTGGACATCCATGATATGCGGAGTCCCTCAAGGCTCAATTCTTGCGCCTCTCCTATTCAACCTGTATATGCTCGCACTGAGCCAAATAATGAGAAAGAACCAAATCGCTTACCACAGCTATGCAGATGACACACATATCTACTTAGCCCTGCAGCTCATACAGAATCAGCATATTAGAATGCTTTTTGAAGGATCGTATGACACTGAAGACTGGAGTAATGATGCTGAAAATTCAGCTTTGACATCACAAGAATAAATTACATTTTAACTATATATATATATATATATATAAACATTTATCTTAAATTATAATAATATTTCAAACTATTATTGGTTTTACTGTATTTTTGATCAAATTAATGTTCACAAAGGCTGCATTTATGATGCCAAACTTTTGAGGGGTAGTGTAGATGACTTCATAACTAATAGACATGGACTGAAAGCCACAATTTTGTTTTGATTTTATGGGGCATCTACAGAACGAAGTAACAGAAATGTCTTCAAAAAAACTTTTTTTGTGGTTCCTAATCATTTTAGGAGGAGAGGAGTAGCACTGTGCTCCAGCAGGAAAAAGACCTCCGGACCCGTGTTGAAGTGATGTTAAAGGAGAAAAATCAGAGAATGCAGGCGCTCAAAGCCTTAACCGAGCAGGATCAGGATCTCTGTGACCTTCTCTGCTCACAGCCGTTTTCTATCTCTGACAATTCTGTTCCTTCTCTGGAACAGCTGGAGAATTTCCGTCAGCACATCTCCTGTCTCACTGCTGAGAAAGTATAACAATAAGTCCTTGTTTTAAACACTAGACTTTTAATTTATTTATAAAAGTCATAGTGATTTATGAAAGTTGTGTTCAGTTTGATGTACAATTTTTTTTTTATCTTTCAAGGTGCGGAGACATAACGAATTTGTCACATTGAAGAAGAAGATAATACTTTGCATGGATGATCTGGATCAGTTGCCTGAGACTAGTTTTGAAAAGGATGTTGTATGTGAAGATGAGGAGAGTTTTTGCCTGTCTAAAGAAAACATTGATTCACTCAAAGTCCTTCTTCACCAGGTACAATATAAACTCAGTCTGACAAACTATAAACTTGAGCATTAACAATTGTATAATACATTATTCTGATATTTTAGTTGGAGAGCAGAAAGGCTGAGAATGAACATGTCTGCGGCTCTTATCGGGAGAAGATCCAGGAACTGTGGGAAAGGTTGCAGATTCCACAGAAAGAGCGTGATGAAATTTCTGAACACATGACCCTGCCAAAGAAAAGGAATATGGAAGCTGTTAGTAACCTTTTGAATTTCTGCTTTTCTTTTTCCTTTCTTCACTTATACTATCTATGCTGCATTAATTAAGGCTTTTAAATTGCTAACCATTGCATTGAACACAAAAGTTTACATTTTTATGTCCTCTACTGCCAGTTACAAGCTGAGGTCCAACGTCTTGAAGAACTGAAGCTTAAAAATATGCAAAATGTTACTGAGGCCATTCGGAAGGAGATTGCTGTGCTCTGGGATAAGTGCTTTTATAGTGCTGACCAGCGGCAAGCTTTTGTGCCTTATTATGTTGGTGAGTTGTAATTTTCAAAATTACACCGTTGACTTTTCGAAATCTGCCCGTCTTTTTCTAAAAATATAAAGATTTAAGGGGTGCCTTTTCTCTCAGATGATTTTAGTGAGGAACTCCTGAGCTT